TGTTTTACCATTTTTAATGTTTTTTATTTACTTGTTTCTTTTCTTTTTTCTTAAATATTAATAAAATTACATTATGCTATGGTTTTGTGGTCAGGTTAATTATATTCATGCTTATCACGTGCGCATAAATTAAAATGGCGTCAAACCACAAACCCATGTGATGATTTCCACCTGGAATTTCTACCAATTTCTTTATCCATCCTTTCTTCTTTTTAACCTGTCGGTGCACATCCTTGACTCCAGCGCTGTTGAACTATGTATAAACCAACTTAAGAGGTTATCTCTATAAGAAGTTAATCGAACTGATAGAAGAAAGATGAAAGAAAGAAGAAAAAGTCTGAAGAATTTTGCCAGAAATTTGAATTCGGGCTTGTTCTCCAGAAAAGCTCCCGCTACATTATAGTCCGCTTTAAAGGTACCAGGAGAATCGCTCAGTGAAGGAAAGCCCATCTAAGCCATTTATAAGGCTGTACAATGTAAGATAAAAGAGTTATAAGCATTCAAAAATTATAAAAACGGTCGCCATCTTGAAAAATCCACCTGAATCCTACATATAGGCTACCGCCTATATAATTATCTTTTTCTCAAAGCTTAAAAAGAATTATAATTCAGGAGAGCTCAGTAAAAAAGATATTGACTAGGAATTAACAGGAATTTTCGTGACAGAATGACAGACAGACAGACAGACAGAATGACAACCCAACTGCTTAGTACCCGCCTACGCAAGCGTGGCGAGTCCAATTACTATTACTTGGTTTTTTGATTCCTCCATTACTATTACTATTACAATTACTTTAAAACATGTAATCTTTACTATTACTATTACTATTATCTATTACTATTACCCCATGTCTGTTAATAACTAGTAATTAAAGTGACCACACCTACCCAGAACGAGTTATTCTTATCAACAATCCAAGAGGGCAGTGCTATACCAAATGAAGCAGCTCTTGGTCCATCAGGCTTACCATACTTCTCCCAATTCTCCCTAGCCTCCTCTTGAGTCAAACTACATCAAACAATTACATGTACATGTATATACACTGGTTACTGTGTTAACTGCTTTTATATATACATATACGCATATCATGATAGTCTCTATATGGAGGGACTTACGCTTCGTATGCTTTAGCTATTTCAGTGAATACCTCAGGGTCGCCTCCTTTATCAGGATGATGGGTCATATGTACTGCTTCTTGATCTGAGACACAGTAGCTCCCTAAAGAACTGATCCATTAAACACAGCTGGATATTATGATACTGCATACCCTGTCAATCCAAAGTACATTGTATTTTAAATGGATCCCATGCTTCAGAATCACCAACTGGCTCTTATGTCACTGCCCAACCAAAATAGGAACAACCAGCACACCAATAATACTAAATAACTAACAAACAAACAAACAATAGACACACTGATAATTACTGACAATCATTACAGTATATTACCCATACTAAAGCAATACCGTATAGTGGAAAATTTTCGTGGCCCAAAATTTTACAAATCATTTCGAAAAAACAACTTTGGTGTTTTAATTTTTGCGGATTTCAACTTTTCAGCCATTTTGAACCGTATTGAATCAATTTTTGCAGATTTTACTGTCTATGAATTTTGAAAAAAAGGAAAATCCATGCAACATTTGGGCCACAAAATTTTTCGCTATGCGGTAATTGCAGACTCTATAAATGACATCATTAATATTTACCGTATTATTTTTAATAGTTTATATATAGTCGGTCCCTTCTCCACTTTATTTCTTTTCTGACAACATGGCCCACACTGGCACTCACTTCCTCTGTCATCTCCAAGGTCATCTCCTAACAATGACATTAATATTCTAATTAAAGCCCACAATACAGTATTAATTCAATTCACTTTTCTTGCTCTTAGGCCAAAGGAAGTTATAACAAGTAGGAATATCCCGTAGAGAAGGACTATGAAATAAGGAAAAGTACCAGTTCCCTCGTCAAACTCTATCTGAGCCAATGGGTGTGTCAATAGCGCGAATGTGAATGTCTGAATGACACTTAGTCTTAGGACACGTGTATACACGTGGTTGCCCGTATAATGATTATTGTTGGACACGCCCTATCACTTTTAGAAAGACGCACTGCTGTCAAGCTGCTGCTGTTGCTGCTCCTGCTAAGGCTAACTGTTTTGTTTGTCACTTTTCAATAAACGTCTTGATAGTGCACTAACCATGGCTACTCGTAGAACTCCAGTAAGTATATGTAGTATCAGTAGAGGATATGATTAATGTATTGTAGAGTACATTGTGTCAGTGTTAGTGAAGATAATGTAATGTGTACTGTTGATGAGTGATTGATCTGGAGTGGGATCATACCCTCAGCCTATACAGTCTCTCCTTT